AGGCTTAAAAACTTCCTTGTACCCCTCCTCGACTCTGAAACATCAAAAACAACATTGCCTCATTCTGCTAATGGGATATGTGCTCCTAAATCAGCAATTTTTAGCCAATTTAGGAGTGAAAATCTTCAAATCGATTTTGTTTTTCAGGAGCTCGATCGAATTTTTTCGTTTAGGGCTTAAATTAACGTGTTCACATCCTACTTTAAGGTTCCGAAGGAAAGATGCTGGTAATACTTTTTTTCATTTAACTTTGGTTCAAAACGAACCGCGCTGGCAGAAAATAGGACTGATGATATGTAAACGAACTGAAGAAGCAATGTTGACCAGAAATAGTCAACATTTAGCATACTGCCATTAGATGGCAGCACCTTGCGGCTCAACTGGAAACAATGAGTGGCAGAGAAAAATAAGTCTGCTTACATCTGACTGAGCATAAGTCACCCTTTCTCCATGTTTCCAAATTTCAATAATATATTTTAGCATGCAAAAAAATTATATTGTGTAAAGTGTTGTAAAAGCGATGTACATACAAATAATTTTGATATAGGCATTCGATATCTGATCGAATTAATGTTTGGTACGATGTTATAGTCTGTGCAAACCAATTAGACACTGTAAAAATTCGGGCTTTTTCGGGCGAGCCGAGAATTGCAATCTCCGATCCCGGCGAGGAGCCGCTGGGTCCGCGCCGAGCTCACCGGGGTATTGTTACTATTGTGTCCACGCCGACCGTCACCTGGCGGCTGGACCCTTGTCATCGCGGTCTGGTAGTCAAGAATTGCCACACAAATTTTTTACATTTGTGAATTTTTCCTATCTTTCAACGGATTCGGATTCAGCTTGCAATCCTGATAAAAAACTGAATACAGGGCGTCCCGAAAGTCCCCCCACTCCCCCTCTAAAATGTTAAACTTTGAAACGAAACAGGGGATGTTCATAGATCAATGGTAGCTACTTTTGCCCCCCCCCTCCCCACAGGGAGAGGCTACGGACCCCAAATTTTCTTTTCAAATGCCAACCCCCCTTTATGACACATCAATCAAAAGGAAACACTTAAAAGGAGAAAATTTTTGGAGCAAACCGCAAGTCAAAATCTTGATTATCGACAAAATGGCGGCTGGTCAAAGTTCCGAAAAACGGAAATCTGACTTTTCCGTTTTTGTCGACGGTTTAAGATGAAACTTGATTGCCTGGGGTTTTTTGGGACGAGAAAAACGATTCTGTTATTAGTTTTCCGGAAAACCCTGTCCTTCTTAAAGTGGCGACCTGGACCTAGAAAGAGCGGTAAGAGATTATCCAGGCTGCTCATTGATGGATTCGCATGAAACTTGGTATCCGTGGGTGTTCCGGCACGAAAAAAACGAATCTTTCATTGAATTTTTGAAATTCTGAACAACTTCAAAATGGAAGCTTGGCATTACGGACGCTTACTGAGAGAGTTGTATGAAACTTGGAGGCTCGGAAAAAGTTACTCTTTCGCACTGCATTTTTGAAATGGTAGATACTTCCAAAACGGCGGCCAAGTTTAGTAGTACAATAGTAGTACAATATAGTAACATTTTAGAGGGGGTGGAAAGGACTTCTGGGATACCCTGTATTTATTTTTCCATCAGGACTGTAAGCTGAATCCGAATCTGTCGAAATATAGGAAAAATTCGTAAATGTAAATTTGTTTGGCAATTTTTGTCTACTGGCAGACCACGATGACAAAGGTCCGGCCGCCAGGTGACGGTCGGCGTGGACATAATAGGAATAATACCCCGGTGAGCTTGGTGCGGACCTAGCGGCTCCTCGCCGGGATCGGAGGTTGCAACTCTCGGCTTGCCCGAAAAAGCCCGAATTTTTACAGTGTCTAATTGGTTTGCACAGACTATAGTGGATGGTATGAGGGATCTTTAGACCTGGTTTATGAAAAAAAGACATTTGCTGCACCCAGTGCTTTAAATACGTGACTTAGAGGACAACGCGCATGGGTGCGGTTTTTGTCATTTCCGATACAGCGAATAGGACCCTCACAGCGGAATGAAAGATCATACTCACTTTTATCGGATTTTCCACTGATCATATTTTAAGACTAGATTTAGTTGAAATCATGAATATCTCAATTCTTGACTCAAAAATTGACTTTTGCACCTTGTCTTCCAAGCCCCTCAAACTGTTTCTCCTTTATTTATTAGTTTGTTTAATTATTGTTTACTGAATAGATACAAACTCCAAGGGGCCATTGTGAATACAAATTTAATGAAGTGTGGGGTTAATTCAAAAGACCAGTTTGAAGCAGTTTAATGTATCAGGATCACCTTCTAGTATTTCTTATCTTTGAAATTTTGGTTCTTTGGTCGTATCAATAATGTAAACTCACTTATTTAACGAAGGGCTTTTTCAATACTAATCGCACTATCTTTCTCTGCAAAAATTTCATCAGCGCATTGCTGCCAACGTATCGACCAGCTCCTGACTATGAGACAGCTGTACAACAGAAATACCAAAACCAAATGAACAACTCAGTCTCTGCTATGTACAGCAGTCAGCCAGAAATTCACACTGCTCAACTCCATGAGGTAATCAATATATTTATTTCTATAAAAGTGTTTTAGAGGGCATTAAAACTATTAAACAGAATATACGCTCCACTACTGTTAAATGGACTGCACTAAGCAGAAAGGAACCAAGCCACATCCCCTATTGTCAAGTTGAATTGAGCAATTTATTTTGTTACATGAAAACGGTTGTGCTGATTTTTATACTTTCAGTATATTTTCTGCGGAGTACAAAGTAAATTCCTTAAAATGCTCAAATGAATTCGCACCAACGCTCTCTTGTAAAAAATTGAATTGCCTGGTTAAATATGGCAATAGCTGATGTGACTTGGGTACTTAATGCGGTCCAATTTGGCTAACAATTATTGTCTATGCATTAATGTTCAGTAAATGAGCCAGTTTCTTCATTCAAGAGGGATGTTCTCTCTCAGCGGATTTCATAAATAAGTTGATCCAAAATCCTCGCACCATATCTTTATCTTAAGAACGCCTCAAAATTGAGTTACATGGTCACACATTTTAAGGGTAAATCGACCCTAAGGAATTCAATGAAAATATTTTCAGCTGTTAGTGTTTTTAGGTACTTCATTTTTTTTATTTTGATTTTTGTATTCGGCGGCTAACTAAAACAAATGAAAATTGAAATTTTGATATTGCCAGGGTCTTCAGTTCAAGAACATTGTGCGGCCGTTTGGTCATTTTCCGGATGTGACTAATGTTTACTCGGACGATTCACAGCAGCCCTTGATAAAGACGGTCAATCACCCTTTATCTTCTCTTCATCCGTACAGGTCGTCAGTTGCATAATTTTCTTGATATCTTTTGTGACAAAAAGAAGATGAGTAATAATTAATCCGGTTAAAACAAAAAACCAAAGTCAAACAGGGTGTAACAAAAGTCCGTCCCACCCCTGCTAACATTTGAACGAATTGAGCTAGGGAAATGAAACATTGGGAATGTTCCTATCTCAAAGAGGACCATCTTTTGGGGGGGTCAATATTTGGGTCCCCCCCTCAGGGGGACGGGGGCCCCCAACTTTTTTTTTTTCAAATGGCAACCCCTATCCTGTAATACCTCATTCGAAAGCGCATAAAAAACTAAGAAATTTGGCGCAAACCGCAGATCAATATCTTAATTTTTGACCGAGTTAAGATAGGTCAAATGTCAAATTTGACCTGTGTTCAAAAAATCATAACTCCGGTTCAAATTATCGTAAAGAAAAAAATAAAACTGGAAAATTTACCGAAGTGTAAGCACTTTAAAGTAAAAATCACAGAAATTACCTCAAGGTAATTTTAAGGGGGATTTTGGACCCCCGAAAACGTCATTTTAAAGGTCATACGATTTTCCCGCGAAATGAGCCAATTTCCCCGTACTTTGCCTCAACATTAGCTTGGTAAGTTCAAAAGTAGTTCAACATTGCGTTTTCAAGTCCCCAAATTTCGAACGAAGTTTTAGAAAAAAACGAAATTTAAATGGTTGGATTGAATCACCCTAAATTTCGTTTTTTGAACTTTATCCGAAATTTGGAGATTTGAAAACGAAATTTTGAACTCCTTTTGAACTTACCAAGCTAATGTTGAGGCAAAGTAAGGGGAAATTGGCTCATTTCGCGGGAATATCGTATGACCTTCAAAATGACGTTTTTGGGGGTCCAAAACCCCCCTTAAATTACTTTGAAGTAATTTCTGTGATTTTTACCTTAAAGTGCTTACAATTCGGTAAATTTTCCCGTTTTATTTTTTTCTTTACGATAATTTGAACCGGAGTTATGATTTTTTGAAAATAGGTCAAATTGGTCAATAATTAAGATATTGATCTGCGATTTGCGCCAAATTTCTTAGTTTTTTATGCTCTTTTGAATGAGGTATCACAAGATTGGGGTTGCCATTTGAAAGGAAAAAGTTGGGGGGAGGGGGACCAAAATTTTAACCCCCCCCCCCCGAAGATGGTCCCCTTTGAGATAGGAATATTCCCAAAGTTTCATTTCCCTAGCTCAATTCGTTCAAATGTTAGCAGGGGTGGGACGGACTTTTGTTACACCCTGAATGATTAAATGAGGGCTCCTCTCCTACCAACTAAAATCGTCAGAATTTGAATTCTAAAGACAGTTTTGAGTAAAATTGGAAATTCATTATCTACTACTGCTTCAAAAGAGGTTGTTCCATAAACGACGATCCCCCCCCNCCCCCCCCCCCCCCCTGGATTTGGCCCAAACTTTGCTGACCCCAAGGAATCCGATTTCCATAGTCCCGAAGCCCCCTAGCTTCCCAAAGGGGGCCAAAGATGGGGTCACGAACCCTATAGTCGGGAGACATGATGACTCCCCCTTTTACCCCTCCAAGGGGGTCTAAGGGGGCTTCGGGACTATGGAAATCGGATTCCTTGGAGTCGATTACCCGGGAAATTAGCTTTTTCCGGAAAATCTACGTCAATTTTTTACCCAAGGGAAACTATGGCCAGGGGGATGCTGTTCCCGTCTTTAAAAGACCATTTTTGGGCGTTAAGTGGTCCGATTTTGGATTCTTAGGGGTCAATTTTGCGTGAATTTTTTCGTTCTTTCCAGGTGTAATGCAATCAAATCGCAATTCTATCGCGGACCCCGACTTTTGGGATCGTGACCCCCCCCTTTACCTCCCAAGGGGACATGGGGGGTTTCGAGACCATGAAATTCGGATTCCTTAGGGTGAATTCCCGAATCAACCCTGCGGTCCCCCACTTCATACTACCTAAACCAACCGAGAAAAAGACCTGGTACGGGTGGCCTGGGACACCCTGTTTAACGAAGTATAAAAGAATATCTATAGGACGGGAAGGGTGGGGGGAGGAGAAAATATCGATAATTACAGCCTACAACACGAATATAAGGCCCTAGTGGTGAAACAACCTCTGCCTCTCCCGCGCGGGATGGAGCGCCGCCGATATGCCGCCCTCGCGTAGCCGGGAACGCGCAGAAAAATTGCTATAACTCAAGAATGAATCGTTTCCCCAAGGTCAAACGAAATGAGGTCAGTGCAGAATTTCATGGAAAATCATCTCGACAGGTTTCCATTCACGCAGCAACGTTTGCCTGGAGAGGAGAGACGAAAAACGAAAAAAAGTCGAACCTTCAAAATCGAAAAAATCGATTTATGACTATGATAAATTAAGCAACCATACAAACGGCATTAATATTCTTGTAGAGAATATTTTTTAACGTTATTTAGCGCAGATCGCAACACTTACAGTCAAATCGTTCGCGAGATATCGCTTTTTAAAGTTTTGAAAAAATTGCAACTTTGCCCCCCTGCCACCTCCCCCCTAATTATCCGAGGGGGCTGAAATTTTGCCCAAGCATCGGGGACACTTAGTACAACATCTGAGCAAAGTTTGGACCAATCGTCGTTTTTGGAACAACCTACCTCCTTGGACATGAAGAAATTAAAATTTTCATAACTTTTTATCAGGTGTCATTCGTGTTCACATGAACCAAGGCTCATAAATTGTTTTGAACCTATTTAGGTTTTATATGATTCAAACCAAAATAGCTGAAGCATTGAAACCTTGTAGAAATAATACTTTCAAATAGCCAAATGAATTGTAATTTTTAACCAACGCTAGCTCTATCACAGGACTTGGAATCAAGAAATCACTCACCTGTTACCACCACCTGCTCTTATGCTTCTTGATCTTACCCTAGCCAAATTAGCAATTTTTTTTAATTTGTTACTTTCTCCCAAGCAGTGCAGATTGCAGTAAATTGAAAAAAAATCGTAAAATTATTGCTATTGTACTAGGTCTCCTCAATTAGAAACCGGATTTTAGTGATAACGAGACCACTGTACGCCCGAATGAGGTTTTCTTGGACTTTCCTGAAAGCAAAAAAAAAAAAAAAAATTGCTTTTCAACCACAAGGGAAACGAAAGATAGATTTCAACTAATCATTTCTATGAAAATAGTTGCGCGTCATGAACCTGACAGGTCGAAAAATCGTCCCCCTTGAACTTGAGATTTTCAGGATAAAGGGTGGTTTTAGAGAGTAGGTGAATATAGGTTGTTTTGAAAGCCACGACGAGACGAGTTTTTTGAGGTATCATCAACTAAGATCAGACGAGTCCCCCAGTGACCTTGACATCACTGAACTAAGGGATGGGCCGATTTTCACCAAAAATGAAACTTGATGTAGACCTCACAGCAGTGAAGAACCATGCTTGGTTTCATTTTGATCGTAGCGATAGTTCTGGAAAAATACGGTCGCGAAGATTCGTCACATCCCAGTTATAAATATATATGTATACTAGCCGTTCTGGACGCGCTTTGCGCGTCCGTTACGGCCAGCCAAGGGGCTGCGTCCCCTGGACCCCCGATCACTCGCTACGCGAGTACCATTCGGCTCGCTCCACGAGCCATTTTTCTTAGTGATTGGACATTTGATCACTAAGATGTATACATTTTGGAGACTCTGGAGGCAAAAATGATTTCGTCACATAACCATGTTGCCGGAGCATGCCATCATTTGCACATGAATAGATGTGTGGAGATGAAGCGATGATGGGGATCGATCATTTCTTCAAAAACGCATTTGACTGGGACGTCATTCCATCGGTTGGACAGTCCATGGATCTCCTTCCGCGATTTGACTTGCTGAAGTAGCAAAAGTTCATCTTTATTTCTTAAGAAGATTATCCGTGGCGTAGGGGTCTGAAAACTGCTCAACGATAGTATATTTCGAGTTCCGAATCGCAATGAGCCCACTCGTGTTTTTTTCTTATTTTTTCATCGCATATAAATTTCTCTGATGTTTTTGTTTTATTCTCTCTGATTGCATATTAGTAATCATATCCTAATTTCATTTCCTTTCCCTTTCCTTTTTAGTCGTGCGGCGAAGCCGTATAGACTCTAGGTTTCGCCGGAGGCTAAAAAGTGTCCACACTTTTAGGCTAAGTCCAAGAGGAGAATTTTCGAGGAACCAAGTAACATATGAGGTATTGATATCGGTGCATTTTGGCCCAATGGAGATGTTACATGTGCAAGGAATTTGCAATTTAACTGTTGATTCTTGTATAAAAGTTCGCGAGGAACACAATGGTGCCACTGGTTTTCTCTGAAATCATCTCCCAAGCTCAAAAAAAGTTCTCAAGTTGAGGCCAAAATGGAGGGGATATCCCACCTTACCCTGAGAGTCCACGTCTACATGAAGACAAACTCTCCATGCAAAGATAGGGAGCAAATACATTAGCAGGGTTGCCGTGT